GCTTGCCTCCAAGCGTACCTTCAGTCTGCAGGCGCCGCGGACGTCGCCTCCTTGGGCGGGGGGTAGTGTTAGAGGGGTGTTTACTGTTCATTCCGAACAGTACATTCCTAGTCACCATTATCCTTATCTTCTCAGATTCTCTAGTGCCACGTGGCACTCTAATTTTCTTGCACTCCAATTCTTGGTCCCACATTCCACTTTCCAACCTTGTTTCTTGCATGCTATATAAACCTTGCTTGTACTTGCCATTATCAATCAATTCTCATTCAACTCTTCTTCAATTACTCAGTAACTTCTTCGCCTATTTCGCCAATAGTTCTTTCGCCAAAGTCTTCCGCCGCGTTTCATCCTCGACTTAGTCGACCCCGCTAATTCTCTAGCGGACTTAGGCCGTTGGGCCTAACAAGTGCTCTTTGCAAATATAACATAAGCAAATATAACAGATAATGACGTATTCCAATGTGTATATCGAGACGAGACACGCCGCGCGTCTCGGGAGGTGAGGTGAGTGGCTGCTGCTGCTGGCTGAACTTCTGCCTTGCATCTCTGTCAAGCCATGATTGGTCAATGCTTTGTTCTTTCCCCTGGAAGACTTTGGATTCTTGTGTACATACAGTACAGATGTCCAAACAGTATCCCCTGAACTGTTCACTTGACCCTCCACGAAGAAATAGAGATCGTTCTTGGCGTATCCTTTGTTCTCCTTGACTTTTTTGCCTCCAGTCACACAACACATACGATTTCGCCACGGCTGCATATACGATTTCGCCAGACATTTTGCGAGCGTCGCTCAGCATCAAGCTAGTCGCCAGTACCAGCAACAAATCCAATGTAAGACAATTCGCGACTTGTTTCGCACGAGCACTTCTCATCCCTACATTGCCTTCGTCAGATCTTGCATTCCTGCCCTTCCCACCACCTCGCTGTTGCTGTATCACCTTGTGGCACCCTTCGGCGGCTCGGTCCACCGTTAAGCATCCTGTGTGTGTCCACACGGCTCGCGCGAGATCTACGACGTCCCTCTAAACATGACGAACAAACGAGCCTTACGTTTTGGCGCAGGCATCCTGTTCTGGGGAAAGACATTGCTGTATTTCGAAGCTGCGCGAGCAGAAGAGGGAATTCGCAGATACGATCCCGAGCCGATTTGAGAGAGGTCTGGTCAGGAGAGAGGTGCAGCGGAGGCTGCGATCCGCGTTATAAAGCTCCGTTGGTAGCCGTTAAAAACTGCGCTAGTAGCTTCGTAGAAACTGCATTGGAAGGTAGCTTCTAACGCGGTACCGCGGCAGGCGATGCAGCAGTCGATGAGGCCGCAGTCTATTCGATTCGAGACAAGCGCGAAATCCATGATAGTTGTGAAGGTGCTTATGGGATCTTGTTCTTTCGACCACTAATATTCCTGATTTTAGGAGGTCTAGTTTTGAGGCGCCTCAGAACTAGATTTTAGAAGGTCTAACGTTGAGTATAGTCGACGGAACTGTCAGTCCCTGACTTTCCCGTCGCACGTGACAGCCACCACCACGCGCACAGGAGTACTTCCTGATACAGTGACACCAGATACACTAACCTCCTGATGATACAGTGACCTCTGATACAGTCATTTCCGATACAGAACACGGGACCTCCAAGGTGATTCAGATCCTCAGCAAAGCTGTGAACATGGCGCTTCGGACTCGACGGGACCAGCTGTGTTCCTCATCCCTCATTCCCCCATCCGTCTCTCGCTCCCAACTCGATTTGCTCCCAAACCGCCGCCGCCGCCGCCGTCTCCGCCGTTGCGCCCCCCACGCTTTCGCTTATGTCCTTCCGCCCGCCATTCCCCTTCCGCGCGCCACTCCCCCTCCGCGCTCCATTCCCCTCTCCCTTCTCCACTGCTTGCGCGCACCCTTCGCTTCCTTCCGCCACGCTCTAGCAGCTCTCCTCCCGTTCGTCCTGCTAACATCAATTCTTCTGTCTGAAGATACTTTCTGCCACGTGGCCCGCGCTGAGTCGCTCGACGTGCTGACGCCGAAGGGCGGCTGTCTGACGTCACGCTGCGTCAGGTACACCCGGGGGCGGTGGTTGTTGCCGTCGGGTACGGCGTCGGCGATTATTAACGCGAATGGCAACTTGAACTACGAGCGGTACAAGGTGTGTGTTGCACGTTGGAGTGCGGTTGGATGCGGTACAATGCGGTTCCCTTGTTTTGCTTGTTATGGGCTACGGCGTCGGCGACTATTAGCGCGAATGTCGACATGAACTAGGAGCGGTACAAGGTGGGTGTTGCATGGCCTTGCGCGGTTTAGTGCGGTGCAATGCGTTTGTGCTGTGTGGGGACCCGGCGTGACTGAGTATGAGCGTGAACGGCAGCATGAAATGACAGCGTGGGAACGTGGAGTGGGAACAGCAGTAGTAGCAGCAGTAACAGCGTGTAACAGCGGATAAGAACAAATACAGCGGTAATAGCGGTGTAACAGAGGTAACAGCGGTTACACCGGTAACTGCGGTAACACAGAGAGTCCTTGCGCGTGTGTTTCCGCGCCCCTCTTTCCTCCTTTCTCCTCTTTCATGATGATCTAGAAGCCATCTTCTCCCCCCTTTGTTGCCTTGTCCCACTCAACTCAAACCAATTCCCTCATCCCTGCCCATCCCCGTTCACTCTGTGCCCCTCTCTGCGCACCCCGGATTTTCCCATCCTTTCCCGTCTTTCCCCCCCATCCCCCCCCCTGCTCCCGGCAGCTCACAGACAGCACCGACGTGATATTAAAGAACAATGTACGCCTCTCCCTCCGTCCTTCCTGCCCACATCGCCCTCATCGCCCTCCCCCCCCCGTTTTTTTCCGCCGTTCCTCCCCCCTGTTTTCCCTGCCCTTCCACCCTTCCCCCCAAACTGTCCCCGGCAGCTCACAGACAGCAGCGACGTGATATTAAAGACCAATGTACGCCTCTCCTCTCCCCCCGGTCCCCCTCCCCCGCGCTCAAGTCTCAACGTGCCTCCCGCTCTCCCCCCGCGCCTCCCGCTCTCCCCCCGCGCCTCCCGCTCTCCCCCCGCGCCTCCCGCTCTCCCCCCGCGCCTCCCGCTCTCCCCCCGCGCCTCCCGCTCTCCCCCCGCGCCTCCAGCTCTCCCCCCGCGCCTCCCGCGCACCCGCACCCCCTAACCCACTTTCACTCCCCTCTCGTTCCGCCGCCCATCCCTCCCCCTGTCTCCTTTCGTTCCGCCTTCACTCTTTCCACTAGTTTGCACTGCTTTCATGACGGTTGTGGCTGGCAACGTCATCCCCAAGTCATGCCAACGTCATCCCCAAGTCATGCCAACGTCATCCCCACGTCATCCCCACATCATGCGCACATGCGCACATCCTCTAACTAGGTGACTTTGAGACGACCCAAAAGTCCCTCCCTCCCTCCGCCTCTCCTTCTCCCTCCCCCATCCGCATATAGGTCATAAACGTGAACACGTGCTGCCAGAAATGCGCCCAAGCTGAGAACTGTATATTTTTCCACTACGAACCGCCCCGGTGAGTGTGTGTGTCTCCTCACACAAGTTTCACCACTCGTCCACTCGTCCACTCGTCCACTCGTCCACTCGTCCACTCGTCCACTCGTCCACTCGTCCACAAGTGTCCTCCCATTTGAATGCTGCTCACTGCTCCGCTGCTCCATTGCCCCAAGCTGACAACTGTATCTTTTTCCACTATGAACCGCCCCTGTGAGTGCTGCTACTGTGCTGTGCTGCTACGGTGTTGCTCCCCACCAGTGTTCCCCTCTCATTCTCTCGTTCACTGCCGCACTGCCCAAGCCGGCAAGTGTATGTTTTTTCCGCTACGAGCCGCCGATGTGAGTGTGTGTGTCCCTCGCACAAGTTTCACCACTCGTTCACTCGCTCGCTTTCGTGCTTGCTTGGCCGTGCTCACCACTCGTGCCCAAGTGTTGTGTCTTGTGTTTCTAGGGTAACTTACTCGTTTAACTTACCCTGCTACTGTAGTTTGAGTTGGCCTTAATCGTTTAACTTACCCTTTCGTGCTTGGCCGTGCACACCGCTCGTGCCCAAGTGTTGTGTGCTGCCAACCATGCATGGTTTTTAGAGTTCTCATGCATCCAAGCCCAAAAAACGCTCATGCCCACGTGTTGTGTTCTGCCAAACACGCACTAAAAGGAATGTTGATCGTCTCTCTCTTGTCTCTCCTCTCCCTCTCCTCTCTCTCTCTTCCCAGTGTACCTAGCAACAGCGTCTGCCGGCTGCCAACCAGCCTGAAAACGGCGTTCCCGGCAGGAACGCCGTTTGTGAGACGTCCGAGGTCCCACCCTCCTTCCCTCCCTGCATCCCATCCCCTGCCTTCTCAACCACTCTCAGCGTTCCCGGCAACGGCGTTTGCCGACTGCTAACCAGCCTGGACAAGTTTACTGTAGACAACACTAAAACGAGCGTCCCTCCGTCTTATATCGGGGGCAGCTGCAACCCGCTGGCAGAAGTGAAGAATGACCCGCATTTTGTGGGTGCGGAGGGCACGAGATTTGATTTCCACGGGGAGCTGAATCGATCCTTCTGCCTGCTGACTGACCGGGATTTTCATATCAACATGGGCATCAAGGGGTATGAGGACGGGAGAATGGCGGTGGGGGGAAGGAGAGGAGGGAACGGAAGACGCAAGTTGCCCATACGATCCTGGATCAGGTAAGCACGGTGGTGTCTTGGGCTGAGCTGCTCAGTTAAGTCAAGTGTCCTCCACATTACGTTCTGCCTGCTGACTGACCGGAATGAATTTTGAGGCGCCTCAAAAGTCGTTTGTTCTGCCTGCTGACTGGTCGGAATGTGCTAGTGGTTTGAATGATGCGAGTAACTTGTTTTGAGTCGACTCGTAACTAATGCTGCACGTTACTTCAAGATTCTATGGATAAAATATTCTTTCGATGCCCTAAATCCTTAGAACGAACCCCCAGCCGCACTGTGTATCAACCTTCAGAATTCTTGCCTTCTTTCTAACCAGCATTTTTCCTTTGTCTCTCCTCCTGCCATCCAGGGAGCTCTACATGACGTGGCGAGATCCCATTGGCTGGCAGCACTCGGTGTTTCTGAAGGCGCGGGATGGCAAGGAGCAGCGGCGGGGGGAGAGGGGATTCATTGAGCGGATGGAGATGGACGGGCGATCGTTGAACCCTCCCACTGAGGCAAGCTTTTTGAGTGATTGCGCCCACTCAGGTAACAATGAAGGTGTCACTGTCTCAGGTTACATTTGAGGCGCCTTAAAATTGGTTTCTGTTTTGAGTTGACTCAAAACCCCACCCAGGTAACAATGAAGGTGTCACTGTCTCAGGATACTTTTGAGAAGCCCCAAAAATGGCTTTCGAGAATTCCCAAACTGTTAGCGACGGATGTGTCACTGTCCTGGGTTACCTTCGTCTCTATCTCTCACCCTGAAGCTACGTCTCTCCAATTCTCTGTTGCCATTGCATGCTGGGTGCTCTTTAGGATTCTCAAAAACACCCCGTTCAACACCCACCCTCTGCTGCAACCCCCACCCTCTCCTTCTTTCCTCCCTCCACTTTCCCGCCATCTTTCTTCTCGCCCTTCCTTCTGCTCCCCTCCCCAGGTGAGGCATACAGTGCATGGAGGGGGGGGGTTCCTTGCACTTGGTGCTGGCATCAACAGCGCCCACGGGGGAATGGCAGGGACAGGGACACATACCAACCTTCTCTCTCTCTCTCTCCCCCTCCCCCCCATTCCATCCCTCCCCCACCCAGGTGGGGCAGGCAGTGCATGGGAAAGGGTCCTTTCACATGCTGCTTCTATCGACCACACCCATGGGGGATGGCAGGGACAGGGACACATACCATGTACGCGTGGGGGGGGTAGCAGCCTTGGAACTCTCCTTGCATGTTGCACACCCGCTGCTGCAGACGGCTGACGAGGCTCACACTCACTTCAACGTCTACATGAAGTACCTCAATGTGAGTGAACTTCAAATATTATTTATTAAATTCAAATATATATATGTGTGTGTGTGTGTATGTATATTTACTTGTACATATATATAAATATATATGTGTGTTCTTTGCGTTGAATTTGTTTCTAGACAGTTTAATGTGGTGTGAGGATGGGGATGACAATGCATCATTGTTTACCCTTCATCACACCAAAGAGCCCCCACACATGCCCCTTCCATGTGACTTTTTTTTGCGGTCGCTGCATGACCCCCTCTCTTTTTTTTCTCTCTGTTTACCCTTCATCACACCTTAGAGACCCCACACATACCCTGTCCATACAACCACTTTTTGCATCTTGTGTTAATGTCATCATAAGACGCCCATTTTCTCTCTGTTTCCCTTTTTGTTCCGATGGACTGAACAATAGAACACGGATGCAGTGCATGGTGTACTAGGGCAGACTTTTAGAGGGGAAATTACCCGCTCTAAACGAGCTGAGGAGTATGGACTGCTGACTAGGCTGCTGAGAGCGCCGATTCAAGCTGACGGGGAGACAGGGCGAGGCTTTCTGGATGGTGACGTGGAGGATTATGCCACGTCAGCAATCGATGCTGCTGACTGTGTGTTTGCCACGGCATGGAATGACGCTCGGAAGAAGGTTAGGGAAGTGCCTGGGGAGGTTGGGGAGAAGCAGAAAGTTTTTGGAGAAGCTGTGACAGGGGCTCGAGGGGAGGTTGAGGAGGCTCGGGAGGAGGCTTGGGAGGAGTCTGAGGAGGTTCGGCAAGAAAGCGTGACTGGTTTGCTAATGGAGGGTAGAGATCAGCGGTCCAAAGCATATTTAGAAGAAGTTGCAGGGAAAATGGTGGAAGGGGATGGAGAGAAGAGGAAGCAGCAAGATGATTTGACTGAAAAGGTGGGGGGAGAGCGAGAAGAGAGATATTACAGAGAGGGCGTTAGGGAGAATGCCAGTGGCAAGATGTGGGGAAGGGTATGGGAGAACAGAGACTCAGCGGCTGACGAGGAGAGTGTTACAAGTTTTACCCGCCACAAAGAACAACTGGTTCATGAAATATTTCAATAAGGTTAGTGCAGTTTAAGAGCCAAAAACTTTTAATACCTTTGGGTGTATGTGTAGCAATTTAAGATAAGCCAGGAGGCAAATATTTGTAGATGCTCGTGTTTGATTACCGTGTCTGGATATAAGCGCACCCTTTTATTTGGCGCATGCGCTTACATTTGGGTGACTGCGCTTATAAGGACTTGCCGTTTATACGCGCACCCCCCATTTAGGCTCAACATATTATAAGCGCATGCGCTTCAATTGTGTACTGTTTCACATAAGATTAACATACTAAGGCATGCATACAACATGTTCTAAATGTCATATTAAGCCTCGCCTTCCTCTTCGTTGGCCTCATCGTCGGCCTCATCCTCGCCGTCTGACTCCGGCTCGGTGGTGTTATTGGCGAAGAAGCTGTCTGCAGCCACATCGTCCGTCACATCTATGGACGTGGGCTCGCTGTCAAACATATATGTGTATTAAATTGTCTAGGCTATATAGGGGCTAGCCTTAGGGGGTATAGGTTTCACCTCGACACTCTTGCTTGTACCCCATCCTATACCTAACAAACCCACTTCTCCTAAACTCTCTCGACATGGTATAGAGCAGGTCCTTCTAACGACCGTTTTTTTAAGGGCCCACTAGTTAGCCTTTTTTTCTGCCCGTTTTTTCTGCCCTGCCCTACGATTTCGCGCTGCCCTGCTCTACCCTGCCACGCGCAGCCCGTACAACCCACGCACAGCCCGCGCGTAGCCAGTACAGCCCGCGCGCAGCCCAAGCGCGGCCTGTGCAGCCCGCGCCAGGCACGCGCGCACCCCGTACGACCCTCGCAAGGCCCGCTTGCGGCCCGCACAGCCCGCGCCAGGCCCGCACGCAGCTTGTGCAGCCCACACCATGCCCACGCGATGCCCACGCGCGGCCCGTACAGCCCGCGCCAGGTCCGCGCGCAGCCCGTACAGCCCGCGCCAGGCCTGCGCGCACCTGCTCTGCCGCGCGCGCACCTGCTCTGCTGCGCACGCACCTGCACTGCCCCTGCTGCCACCTGTGCTACTGTTACTGCACGGCTTTTACTGCACCGCTGTTACTACACTGCTGTTGTTGCACTGCTGCTACTGAACTGCTATTGCTGCACTGCTAAGCTACTGCTACTGCCTTGCTGCTCCTGCCCGCGCGCCGCTAGTCTGCAGCCCTTGTGGCCCGCGCCCTTCCATTGCCGCCCACATGCCGCCTCTGCCTGCCAGCGCGCCGCCTCTACTGCGTGCGTGCTGCCACTGCTGCCCGTGCGCCCGCTGCAGCCATGGCTACACTAAATGTCCTTACCTTCGACCCTGACAGCCGCCCGATAGAGTTCGCCACGTGGCTAGATGACCTGCAACTTTTCCTCATGACGGATGCTGAAGACGGAGTTTCCTTGTTTGACCACGCGTCTGGCTCCTCAGTTGCTCCTCCTGACACAGATGACAGCCTCTCTTGTTCACAGTGGCAGACCCGTGACGCAGCTGCTCGCCTAGCTATTTGCAACCATCTGCCATTAGCTGAACGTGCTCACTTCGGCCAGCACAAGACCGCTAAGGACCTGTACACCGTTGTAGTCACTCGCTACTCTTCCCCTGCCACTGCTGCTCTCAACCGCCTTCTCCTGCCCTATCTGTTCCCCGAGCTATCCTCCTCTGCCACAGTTAAGGACCTCATCTCCCACCTTTGCGCTAGTGACGTTATCTACCGTGCCGCTCCCTCAGCCGAGTTCTTAGCCGCGAACCCGCCCCCGATGTACATCATGCTCTACTTCCTAGTCACCCGCCTCCCTGACTCCCTTCGTACAATCAGGGACCACTTTCTAGCCCTCGACCCTACCGCCCTCACTGTCGACGACTTCGAGAAGCACCTCCTTGCAGCAGAGAAGAGCATTGTCGCTGTAGGTGCTGCTCGTGGCACTCCTCGCACTCCCCTCTTTGAGAGGTGTTCCTCCTCCCCCCTTGCCCCCTCCTACGCTTCCGCTGCTGCTACTGACTTCCTTGGTGCTGAGTAGGTCGGCGCTACTTCTGCTCCTAGTGGGAGGCGCCGCAGCGGCAAGGGTAGGGACGGCAGGAGTGGTGGAGGTGGTGGAGGGGAGGGCGGTGGTGGAGGCGACGGGGGTGGTGGAGGTGGCGGAGGTGGCGGTGGGAGTAGTGGCGGGAGTGGAGGCGTCGGTGGCGGCGGTAGCGGTAGTAGTGGGAGTGGTGGCGGTGGAGGTGGCAGTGGCGGTGGTGGCGGCAGTGGGAGTGGTGGCAGCGACAGTGGTAGCGGTCGGGGTGGAGCCTTTCCGAGGGGAGGCTCTGGAGGTGGTCAGAGGCAGCAGCAGCAGCCGCGTCTGCGCGAGACCCTTACGCCCCAGCAGCTTCGTAAGTGGTATGCTCAGCGTGGGGCGTCTGGGGGTACTGTTCGCTGCCCGTATGTCATTCGCACCGGTCCCCGAACTGGACAGCCATGCGGGAAGTTCCACACCGAGTACCGCTGCTTCTCCCGTCTTGACGATGCTTGGCGCACACGGTTTCCTGATGCACCTAAGCTCCCCCGCTGGGCAGACTTGCTTAAGCGCGATGTTGATATCTTTGCTCTAGACTATGATAATATTCTTGCTGCCATGTATGCATTGTCTGTTAGTGCTGAGGGTGACTGTTACCTGTGTGTGCCGCCCGGCCCTGGTATAGAGGCTCCTGCACTAGGTGCTAGTGAGTCTGCTCTCTCTGGTACTACGCCTGCTGAGGCCTTGCACACTTTCACGCTTGGCTCAGGTGCTTCTCGCTGCTTCTTTCGCGACAGTACCACAGTCACACCACTCCCTGCGCCTGTTGCAGTCTCTCTGGCTGACCCCTCAGAGGGCCAAGTTCTAGCACGTTCCTCCACTGTTTTCCCGTGTTCAACGGTTTTGTCTGGCTCACTGTTAGGTCTTCACCTCCCCTCGTTCTCTACGAACTTGGTGAGCAACGCCGTCCTTCAGGATGAATTGGTTGATGCCATTACTCCTGGGGGACACCGTGTGGCGATCTGCACGTGTGCACGGATGGGCTGTCACCTGGCCACGTTCACCCGTCGGCCTGGGTCGAGTCTGTACACACTGACTACTCGGCCTCCTCAAGTAGCTGCGTCTAGTCAGGTGTTTGCGACGAGTCAGGTAGCCACCCCTTGCTTGTGCCGCCACCTTTTGCACCAGACTCTCCTGTGGCACCACCGCCTTGGTCACCCCTCCCTACCACGCCTCCGTGGCATGCACTCCCGTCTCCTTGTCTCTGGTCTTCCCAGGTCTCTGCCCCACCTCCCGCACTCGCCTGCCCCGCCCTGTCTTCCCTGCGTCAAGGGGCGGCAGCGCACCGCTCCTCACTCCTCCTCATTCCCTCCGACAGAGGCTCCCATGCAGACTCTTCACATGGACGTGTGGGGCCTAGCCCGCGTCCAGGGACAGGGCGGCAAGCGGTATTTTCTGCTGGTTGTTGACGACTACTCGCGTTACACCACGGTTTTCCCCTTGCGTAGCAAGAGTAAGGTCCCTGACGTCTTAATCCCTTGGATCCGCACTGTCCGTCTCCAGCTCCGCGAGCGGTTCCATCAGGACCTTCCTGTCCTGCGTCTGCAATCTGACAGAGGTGGTGAGTTCTCCTCCGACCTCTTGCAAGACTTCTGTCAGGAGGAGGGCATCACCCAATCGTTCATGCTTCTGGCCACTGTGCAGCAGAATGGGGTTGCCGAGCGCCGCATTGGCTTAATCATGGAGGTCGCTCGTACCTCCATGATCCATGCGGCTGCCCCCCATTTTCTGTGGCCATTTGCAGTTCGGTACGCTGCGCATCAGCTCAACCTCTGGCCCCGTGTC